TGATTTATTAGAATTTTGTATTATAGAATAGTTGGAATGAAGTGTTCTAGACTTGATAAGAAAAGTGAAGGCAATACTAATGATATGATGGGAAGAACTCTGCACAAGTTGATGTAAATATGAGTAACAATGGTTATTGTTATTAGATTTGGTGGAAAAATGAATAAAGAAAATATTTTTTTTAAAAAAAGAAGAAGTGTGTACATTTTCCCTTCACTCATGGTCTATGCGTTTTTGTGACTCTTCTTGATTTGAAGAGTTTATTGCTTTGCTGTTACTGTATCTGCTGGGTTGCACATTGTGCTTAATAAATAATTTCCATTTATTTCGGTCAGTAAATGACTCTGCGTTTCTCACTGGTCAGTGTTGGCCCACTGGAGCAGATTAGGACCCAGATCTTCAACCATTACTTACAAGACACCTGAATCTGCCTTATACTGAGTCAGACCACTGGTGTATCAAGGTTGGTATTGTCTCAGACCCATAGCCAGGGTTTTTTATTCTGGGGTGCTCTGGGGTTCGGGGAGGCGGCTGCTGGTGCCAGGGGGGGCTTAATTTAAAATAAGAACTTACACCCACAAGGGTTTAAATGTGCCTCTCCTCTCTTCCCTCGCCTGCCAGCTGAGCAGAGAGGGGGTTTAAACCCCCTCTCTGGAGTCCTGCGGCAGCAGTGGCACAATTTCTCCATTGGATACTATGGAGAAATCATGCCGCTGCTGTGGCACAACTCCAAATAAGGGGTTTAAAGTTTAAACCCCCTCTCTGCTCAGCTGGCTGGTGGGGGAAGAGAGGGGACAGCTGTATGGCCTCTGTTGCCAGCTGCGGAGTCAACTTAGAGGGAACACTGGCCAGGAGATCCTAGGATTGTCTGGCAGCCGAAGTTCTAACTCTTTTTAGGTGAGCTTGACTTCTTGGTGGGCTGAGAGAGCTCTGAGAGCTGCGACTGACCCAGAGAGAGAGTGGGTGGCCCAAGGTTACTCAGCGAGCTTTCATGCTGGAGTCAGGATTCGAACTTGGGTCTCCAAGAACCTCATCCAACACGCTAACACCGTGTCCCCAACAGGGTGCCTCTGGGCACCATGACACCCACCAATACCTTTCTGGGTGTCTGCTAATTGGTTTTTAGAAAGTGGGCGGGGCCAGGCAGGGCTTGCGCTCAGCACGGCTTCTGATTAGATTTGCAGATGAAAAGGCATCCTGTCAAATAGAGCACCTGCCTTAACGCTGCAGAGTTACGATGAAAGTTATGCACAACTGCCCTCCTTGACATTTGTGGTTGTTTCTGCCTCCTGCGGCAGCCATTTTGCTGTTGTGCCCATGAAATGTACTGGGTTCAGACGCGTGGAGGGATCAGCTCATGGTTTATTGTGATTTCAGCTCAAACTAAAAACAACTCAAGCAGGACCGAAGCTCTGCTTAAATCCGTGCTCAGCACCACACCCAACACACACCCACTCCCTGTGATTGGTTATTTACATAAGAACTCCTGCACAATAGGTTCCTTCCAGGATCCTGGTCCCCTATTGGTCTGTAAACAAAGCTAAGCCCGTGCTCATGCAAAACACGAGCTCAGTACATAACACCCAACGCGAGCTCAGTACATAACAGCCCACCAGCCTGTGTCAGAACTCTGAAGGTGCCTGGGCTCAAAAAAGGCACTGGCTCTCAAAGACTCGTAAGGATAAAGTCAGCCTCAGGAGATTCAGTTATGGACACCAGTATTCCCTCTAAGCCAGTGTTCCCTCTAAGCTGAGTTAGTGTGAGCTAGCTCAGTTTCTTTTAGCCTCCAGCTCACACATTTTGGTCTTAGCTCAGGAAGGTAGGCTCCAGAGCAGACTAAATTTATGCAGGAGTCAAATCGCTTGTTCACAACTTTAAAGCCAGTAGCTCACAAAGGAGAATTTTTACTCATAAGACTCTACAGCTTAGAGGGAACATTGCTCTAAGCTGAGTTAGTGTGAGCTAGCTCACAGTTTTTTAGCCTCCGGCTCACACATTTTTGTCTTAGCCAAGGAAGGTTTGCTCCAGAGCAAACTAATTTATGCAGTAGCCAAATCACCTGCTCACAACTTTAATGCCAGTAGCTCACAAAGTAGAATTTTTGCTCACAAGACTCCACAACTTAGAGGGCGCATTAGACACCATTTGTAATTTTGACCCAAGAGCCTGTTAACGATGACAAAGCAGATCGGAAGTGTTCCTTTGATGCAAAGAATGGTGCTTTTTAAGGCTGTGAGATAAATGTTTGCCTCGACAATCAACTTCTGGGGTCTTTTGCTGCAAAAAGAGCTGGGGACGGTGGTGTCTTTGTACCTCACCACTTAGAACAAAAAGACACTTCCTTCTCATCTCAGAAAACGGGGGGTAGGGGTGGACTTTGTTTTGTTGTTCTCTTCGTGAAGAGACAATTGTCCCTCCTGGATCCAGGAAGCCACTGACAGCAACAGGATGCCAGGCTCTGGCTGGCGAATCACAAGTCATGGCGCAGTGCCCAGTTTGCAGTGCATGCCGCCAAGAGTAAAACTGCAGGTGTCCTAAGATGCAGAGGGCAAGTGCTCCACGGCAATACTAGGGAAACACCACCTCAGATAATGACCTGTTGGTGAGCTTCCTGGAGGAAGTTGGTTGGCCATGGTGTGAACAGAATGCTAGAAGAGAATGGACCTTTGGTCTGATCCAGCATGGCTCTTTGTATGTTCTTATGTTCATGCAGAAGGTCCTAGGAGGTTCAATCCTTGCATCTCCAGTTAAAGCAGGGGACCCCAACCTTTTTGAGCTGGCAGGCACCTTTGGAATTCAGACACAGAATGGTGGATGCAACCACAAAATGGCTGCCACAAAACAGGTGGCATAGGAGGTGGAGCCAGCCGCAAAATGGCTGCCACAAAACAGGTGCCAAAGGAGGTGGAGCCAGCTGCAAAATGGCTGCCACAAAATAGGTGCCATAGGAGGTGGAGCCCGCCGGTGGCTGCCACAAAACAGGTGCCATGGGAGATGGAGCCCGCCGCAAAATGGCTGCCACAGCTTAACTTCAGTCACAGAGTGAAGATACTTATGCTGTGGTGGCAGCTGCTGCCAAGGCAATGTTTTAAAAAATCTGCTCAGCCAATCAAATCTCCAATGGCTCATCAGAAACTCTGCTGGGTATTGGACAATTGTTTCTAGGAAATTCAGCTAATGGAAATAGCTAACTTTATACGTGTACTAACTACTGATTAATGTCGTTATACTGTTGTACTGTGTTAAAACAATAATTAAAAAATTAAATTTAAAAAAATCAACTTTGCTGGGGAAAAGCCCAACTTGGTCCCACCTACTTCCTAAAAACCCTTGGCAGGTGCCAGGAAAAGTGCTGGTGGGGAACATAGAGCCCACAGGGCCCCATTTTGGGCAGACTGGCGACCACGCCTGGAACGCCCAGACGGCCTCCAGGCTTATCACCAGGGGCGGGGCCAGACTGGGAGTAGAGGAGGCGGGAAACACAGGCGGTGCTGGGAGTGGAGAAGGGAGAATAAAAGGAGAGGGATGCAGAGGGGCCGGGGAGGAGAAACGTGTGACAGAACTGAGCTGGGAGAAACGGAAAGAGGGAGAACGAGAGGTGTCCTGCACACCCCGGCAGAGGGACTTAAGGGGTGACGTTAACCCCGTCCCCTGCCTATCTGGGAAAGATTGAAGGTCAAAGACGGGGACAGCAAAGGATGAGATGGTTAGACAGTGTCATAGATGCAACGAACATGAAATTGAGCAAACTTCAGAGGACGGCGGAAGACAGGAGGGCCTGGCGGGATCTGGTCCATGGGGTCGCGAAGAGTCGGACTCGACTGTGCGACTGAACAACAACAAACTGCCTATCTGAGGCCCCACGGCAAACTCCTCCTTAATGAACTCTCTCCAACTCCCATGACCGTCCGCCCTGGTGGGTAGCCAGACGCCACGGCCACGGGCAGGTCAGCTCCCGGGCCACAGACAGAGCCTGACAGTAAGATTTCATGTGTTTACGTGACCTCTTTATTTAACACTGTAGGAGATGTTTGTGTAGGCAGGGAGACCTCAGGTCGATGACATCTTGTATGGTCGATCGTTCCCTATTTTTCCAGTTTTCTGCACCTTTTCCAGGGACAGCCCCTGATAAAACACTATCCCCAAAGTGACCCAGTTTTACTTCCTGGGGGCAACATTGTGAAACTCCCTCACAGGCTTCACTTCTGCTGGTGGGTGAAGACTTTTTCATTTCGTCCAGCATTTCCACAATAATCCAGCCTTTCCACAATAATCCCTCCTCGCGTTGAGTCTCGAAAGCTTCCATCCCACAAATCTTGCTGTTCTCTAAGGCACTACTGGACTCGAGTCGTGCTGTTCAACTTCAGACCCAACACCTGAAGCTGGAATCAACAGTGTTCGTCTTGAAGGTACCACTGGACTTCTCCGGCGCTCCGCTGCTGGCAAACTTGGCCAGGGCTCCGGAATGTCTTTGTCTGGGTTCACCGGGTTCTCTTCATTTGAGGGGATGTGACCTGAAAGGGAACATTCTGTTCCCTCGTTTCTTATTGGGAAAGGCGTTCTCCCCCCACCCACCCCCCATCACACACACAAGCCAGGCAGCATGCAAGCCTGCCTCCTCCAGACAGAGGAAGCCTCACGCTGCTTTGTTTCTTCAGTCTGGGAAGCACCTTCTTCCCCCGGCATCCTCTCTCCCTGCTGGCAACCTCCCCCCTGGCTCCCGGCCAGCCCTGTTTCCCCCTGGTCACCACCCCTGCCCCCCACCTGCCTCTCCCCCTGGCCAACCATGAGTCACCGGCACGCGCCTGCTGGGGTAGTACTTTTTTCAACCCCTGCCTCGCAAACCCCTCATTGGCTGCCCGGGTGAGGTTGCTGTTTTCCGATTGGCCGTGGCGGGGCGAGGAGGGGGAGCCGTCCCCTTCTGCCTCGACGGGGTCGGAGCGCTTTGGCTCTATAAAAGGCTCCCCGCGACGTCTCTGGATAACAAGCCAACCGAGGCGCAGAAGGCGAGAAGGCGAGGTGGGGCAGGCGAGACCGGGAGATCCCAGCGGCAGATCTAACCCAGGAGGTGAGACAGACCCCCGCGACCGAGAGAAGCCGCAGCGTCCTGCCAGCTTCAGCAGAGAGGCGACCGGACGGGACGGGACGGGATGGCTTCCGCGGCGCTGGAGCTGCTGGGCTTGGCGCTCTCCATCTTCGGCTGGGCGGGCGCGATGCTGGCGGCGGGCTTGCCCATGTGGCAGGTCTCGGCCTTCGTGGAGGCCAACATCGTGACGGCGCAGACCACCTGGGAGGGCCTGTGGATGGCCTGCGTGGCGCACAGCACCGGCCACATGCAGTGCAAAGTCTACGACTCCATCCTGTCGCTGCCGGCCGAGCTGCAGACCGGCCGCACGCTGATGGTGCTGGCGGCCCTGCTGGGGCTGGTGGCCCTGCTGGTGACGGTGGTGGGCGCCCAGTGCACCAACTGCGTGCGCGCCGGCCGGGTCAAGACCTGGATCGCCGCCGTCGGGGGCGGCCTCTTCGCCTTCTGCGGCCTGCTGGTGCTCATCCCCCCCAGCTGGTTCGCCAACATCATCATCAGCAACTTCTACAACCCGACGACGCACTCGAAGCGGGAGCTGGGCGCCGCGCTCTACGTCGCCTGGGCCGCCTCGGCCCTCCTGTTCCTCGGCGGCGCGCTCATCTTCTGCCCCTGCGCCGGCAAGGAGGAGAGCTCCGCCTTCCCCGTCAAATACGCGGCCCCCCGGCGGCCCACCTCCACGGCCAACGGGGAGTACGACAAGAAGAACTACGTCTGAAGCGCCCTCGGGGGAAAGACTGTACCGGGTGGGGGGCGAGCGGAGCGGAGCCCGCGAGCAAAAGGTCGGGAGGCACCTGCCGGACTTCGGACAGGGCGGGCTGGATATCTCCTCCCCCCCCCCCCCGCACTACCCCTTTTAACTTTTTTTTGTGCCTTTCAAAGACGCCCAGGGATTGGACTGCGCACGTCTTCTTCACTGGATTGCTTCTCCCTCCTGCCTCCCCCCCAAAAAAAACAACAACACCCAACCCTGTTCTTTTTAAATTAGACGTAAATCTGCGCTCTGAATCAAGAGCATCCTTGCAGGAATACGGACGGCAAGACGCAGGTATATGTTTAGAAAGGACTGGCCAGAACCCTTTTGCTTTTCAGTCGGACACCTGTTGGGAGTGGGTTGTCTCTCTTGCCTGACTGTCCAAGAATTTTTTCGGAAGTAAAAATTTGGGTGTAATGTTAAAGACCCGTTGACTGAAATGCTGCACTTCAGGCGGTTAGGAATGCATTAAGTATTGTGACTTCTCTCGCAAAGTATTGGATGGCTGTTCTTTTCTTCCGGGGGCGGGGGTGGGGGGGGGTGGGGTGGGGTGGTTACTGGAGTATTAGCTATGGACCCAGTGGCTTCAACTGCAGTCTCATTGAAGTCAATGAAATTGGTGAGTGGTTTTATAGCCCGTCTGCCTATAGGCAAACTTGCAGGACACTTTGTTGGACAAGACATTTGTGACACAAGTTTGCTCTACAAATTGTGTGCATTTAAAAAGACCTAAGAAAAAGTGTGTGATGTAATTATAAAATATTAAGTTATGGGATAAGAGATTAATTTCACATCTGGGTTTGTGATGGAACATTTCATAAATTCCCTATCCCCATCCCGCAAACTAAAATTAACCCCAGTTTTAAAGCTGGCATAGTCAAAGTTCTGAGTCCGAAGCGAGAAATTTGGATGTGGCTTTAATTTACATCCTTGTTCTTCCACGAACCGCATTGGTTTCCAGTGAGATTTGGGGGGAAAATGCCGTTGGTACTGGGAGTTTTATGCAATGAAATCATACTGTAATGAAATCCTCTGAAGTTACGAGCAGTGTTTTCAAATCAAAGATTTTATATATTTTATATGCCTGTATATTTATATGTGTGTGTGTGTATATATTATATATTATGATTGCATGTCCTTGGTGTTTTTTCTTTCTTTGTTAAAATGATGACATTTGAGTCAAGAAAAGGATTTGGTCAGGTAGCAAAAAAGTTTGCCAAAGCGTCCCTAAGTTTGGATTTCTCTGTTCTCTGCTCTTGTCTTGTAGTGTTTGGCTTCTACATTTCTCTGGTTTCCTTTAGGAGATTGGTGGTCCAGGAGAGAATCCATGGACCTTTTGTTTCCTTCTTCCATGGCTTCATCTGGCAATTTTGAAACCTAGCCCAGTTTACACTGTCTCCCGTTTGTTTTCTTTTCTGGATTCAGAAAATAATCATATCTGTTTTCTTCTTTGGACACAGAAAAGAATCATATTTGCTCAGTTTCAAAGCTTGGATGCTTGCTTTTGGCTATGCAAGGCTGTTAGCTGAAATCTAGAGAGGTTGGGGACTCCCCACCCGTCAGACTTCAGTAGCTAGCATCCACCGGCTGTCTGTCTGGGAAGGAGGTGAAAACTGGCACGGTCGTTTGCATTCTTTTCCTGCTTCCATTTTGTGCCAGGGACAGAAATCCTTTAAAAGAAGGGCTTATCTAATAGAGTACAAATTCCATTTGCTATTGCACCTGATCATGAACATGTACTATGTGGGGGGGTGGGGGGGTTTAAATGCGAACAAGTTGCTTGGGGCTTATGGAGACCCCGTGTATTAATGACCTCCAAACCGTCCTATCGTTGATAGCCTTCCTCGGGTCTTGCGAACTGAGGGCCCCTCCTTCGTGGCTCCCTTGATTGAGTCCGTCCATCTCAAGTTGGGTCTTCCTCTTCTCCTGCTGCCTTCCACTTTTCCCGGCATTACTGTCTTTTCCAGTGTTTTCTCATAATGTGACCAAAGTACGATAGCCTCAGTTTATCAATCAGACAAGCCTTTTATTGGCATATACATGAAGATACAGTCATCTAAATACAAAACCCATGCAGAGTAAAATTAGATTTGCAGAGTGACACTTTAGTCATGTTAGCTTCTGGGGGGAATTCAGATTTGATTTGAATATTCTTTGTTGAGTCCATCCATCTCATGTTGGGTCTTTTCCTGCTGCCCTCGACTTTTCCTGCATTATTGTTGTCTTGTCTTATAATGTGACCAAAGTACAATAGCCTCAGTTCGGTTATTTTAGCTTCTAGGAGAAGAGTTCAGGCTTGATTTGGTCTAGAATCCACTTATTTGTCTTTTGGGAGGTCAGCCGTATCCCCAGAGGTCTCCTCCAACACCACATTTCAAAGGAAACCACTTTCTTCCTGTCAGCTTTCTTCATGGTCCAACTTTCACACCTATACATGGTAATGGGGAATAGTATGGCATGAATTAACTGGATCTCGGTTGCCAGCGACACTTCCTTACGCTTAAGAAGCTTTCCTAGCTCCTTTGTGGCTGCCTTTCCCAGTCTCAGTCTCCTCCTGGTTTCTTGGTTGCATATATTACTTGGCAGTAAACTGCTGATAATGACCTTTACTTCTGAGAAAGACCCCTTGAGATTGCTGCAATCCTCAGGGGGGGGAAACCAAACAAAGTGTTGTGGCATCGCTGCACACACATGGGCATCAGGTAACACAGATGAATGATCTCTTAAGGATTTTTGTCTTTAAACTCTTTAACTTTGTAGATTTCTTTGTTTTTAAAAGCAATAAATACAGAAATCAGAAGATGAGATTTTCAGTGGAAGCAAACAACAAGCCGTGAAAAGCGGGCTATAAATTCTCTATAACTAGTATAAGTGACAAGTGCAGGACACATGAACAATAGTGGAAGAGAAAGAAAGCAGATAAGGGGGTATAAATGATTTCCTTGCTGATTTAAGATCGTTCTGTATTTCAAACTAAGCAAGAGTCTTGTTGTGCCTTAAAAACTAGTGAGTGAATGCTATAAGAAGACTGCCATCCTTCTCACATATAACTGAGTATAAGGCTCATAAAATGTGGTTGTACTTAACTTCCAGGTAAAATATACATAGGATTGGGCTGCCTATTTCCCAGCGCAGATCTTCCCAATCTTTGTTGAACTTGCTGGCATTTTAAGGCATGTTGAGAAAGAGTAGAGGGTGCCACCACAAAATGGCTGCCCTGAGGCCGTGCCAGTCTTAGAATGTCTGGAGGTTCCCCCTAAAATATTGGGGTGTTTCAAGTGCTACCACAGAGGCGGCGGCTTCAGAACAGGCAGCCTCTGTAGATTCAAAGGCACGGTCTCCTGGGTTCTTCTCCAGATCAGCTCTTTGCTTTGGGAAGGAGACTCTGGGATGGTTTCAGTTCCCAAAGGAACGGGAGGATTTGCTCCCTGTGCAGCCCCAGGGAGAGGAGACAAGCCCAGACACAAAGGTCTTTGTCCAAGCTGGGGACAATTGGTTATGATGCACCTGCCCAGTGCCCAGTGTGAACTTGACAATTTGCTACTCATTCCACTGGTAAGGAGAGGCCAGAAGGTCCATTTTATTCTGGTACACCAGCACCCTTTCGAATTATTCCCAAGATTCAAGTGGAGCCAGGAACTTACATAATTCACTTATAGTCTGCTTTTCTCCCCAAGAAGGATACAATACAGCTGATACTGTTCTCTTCTCCAGTTTATCCTCACAACAACCCTGTGAGGTCGGTTAGGGCTGAGAGTGGGTGACTGGCTAAGTACTTCCTCTTTCATCCCCTGGCATAGGCGTAATCTTCGTGGGGGCGGTGGGGCATCAGCCCCTGCCGAAATTTTCAGGAAGGTACTCAGCCCCCCCCGGGGGCCCCCCTTGCTCCTAGCAAAGCAATGCCCCTGGCCCAGCCCCCCCCCCCCGGGAAATTGGAAAGTCTACACCCCCTGGAACTGCTTCCCTCCACTTGCAGCTGCTGGATGACCTTGGGCAAGCCATAGTTCTGTCAGAGCTGTTCTCTCAAGGACAGTTCTGTCAGAGCTCTCTCAGCCCTGCCTACCTCACAGGATGTGGAGAGGGGAAGGGAGTTTTAAGCCGCTCTAAGACTACGAGTGAAGGGCGGGGTATAAATCCAGTCTCTTCTCTCTTCTCTCTCATTGAAAGTTCCTGGGTGCCCACTGGCTGCCAAATACATGCATGTCATTCCAGGCTGAGTAATGTCCAGGGATTGTGATCTCATTGAGGTCCCTTTCTTCCTATAGTCTTGGCAGTAAACTGCACAATTACAACAGCACTGTGTATTTTTGGTACAAAGATGGATTTTCTATTTGACAATTGCATTTTTTGGGGGGGGGAAGCAATGTGATTTTTAAACCTGTAAATGTGTATTTAAATGTATACTTGCAGGGGAGAACACTATCGAAACCGCTTTGTTGATTGGATTTTTTATGTCTCAGGGTCGTCATTTACACTTTAAAAAATCCCCTGAAAGAAATTAATTGTTGCATTGACTTCTTAGGAGGCCACAGATCTGCAGCCTTCCCCGCTGCTTCCACCACCGCAAGCCTAGAAACCAGTGACAATTTTTAAAAGTTTCATCTCAACGGCACATTTTAATTTTTTTAATCCCCATCTTGCCGAAGTTAGTCTTTTACGCTGTCTGACGAAGGGAGCTTTGACTCTTGGAAGCTCATAGACTGAAAATCTGGTTGGTCTACTGGATTCAACGCTTGCTGCTTTACAGTGTCATCCTAAATAGAGTTGCATCCTTTTAAATCCACTGAAGTCATTGGGCTTACATGGGTATAACCAGGGGTCATTTCGTAGAAAAAGAGGTGCAGGAGCTCATTAGCATAACTCATTAGCATAACTTATTTGCATATGCCACGCCCCCTGACATCACCGGAAGTGTGTCAGAAGGCAACACCCACCGCTCAGGCTCCACTGGACTGTTCTGGATTGCTAGCTATTGGGGGGGGGGATGTGCAGATCTGTCCTCACAGAGGAGGGAGAGCTTGTACCTGAATAAAACTTGGTCTTAAAGGTGCCACTGGACTGTT